CTACAACTTTGATTAAACTCCTGCATTCTCATCAAATTAAGACAGACTTCAAGAAGGGATTGATCATGTGTCCGTTTTCCACGACTCATCAATGAGAAGTAGCCTCTATATTGTTATCTGTGTGTGTGCACATGTGTGTATGTATGTGCATACAAAGAACTGGGAGCTCACAACTCTAAATAATGTATTTGTTTGCAGCAGAACTCATTTTACCCTTTGCTCTGGACCTGAGATCAGCACAGCCAATGTTCTCGCCAGCATTTGCTAACGTTCATGGTCAAGGTTAGTTAATGTGCTTATTTCTCAGTGAAAGCTGACCCTGCCTCTGTGAACTTCCTGAGATGAATACTCCCTGATTCCTGTGTTCAGATCACACCAGGACTCTGTTTCAGTGGCTATGGAGGAAATGTCACAGATACTGGCTCTGTTAACCTCTACCAGTTTTTTCCTCTTGAGGTACCTAGCCTTTCTCTGTTGTTCCAACTCTACATAGTTAGTCACTTCTCCTGTATTTTTAGATATTATTTCATCCCCTTACATTTGTGATACTGATTATTTACTATCAATATAATTACTTGAAAGAACATAAATGGCACTTAGCCATAATAATTGCTAAGACTGCCTAAAAGAGCCAATCTAATGTTCAGACTTGCTATCATCAACAGAAGCCTTCTGTATAATTTCTTACAACCTCATCTTGTACAAAAACCAAACCTTATTGAAGGTCAAATTTTATGTGTAAAATAACTGGTAATTTTTTCAAATTATGTTTATCTCTGTCCCATGGTATATTTGGGGAGGCTTGTTTTTCCAAATTGTCTAAAACATTTTCCAGGATATTTATTGTTTAGATAAAAACTAGTTTTCTAGTTTGTTTTATTTTTGGTTTATGTGCAATTTAGATTCAGACTCTGGTGGGAAGCTGAAGAACAACTATCAAATATTTTAGTGGGAAGAATAGTGAAAATGAGAATCATCTAATATGAGGAAAATAGATTGAAAAAAGACCCGCTATAAGGTTATCTGTGCTGTCTCTCATTTGCATGGATCTAGAGAAGTTTTCTTGTGAACAGAGCTTGTGCTTTCATATTCTCAATAGTAATAAAACATTGGCATGTAAGCAAAAGCCCCACACCAGTCAGATAATCATTTAATGTGAAGCATAGTTTGGAGCCCTGCATGGCAGAGATAAGTGTTTATAGATGATCCTACTACGAGAGAATAGAAAGTAGAATGGATAGATGAAAGGAAAAGGAACCACATTTGCCTTGTGAAAGATCTAGGCTAACAAAATAGAAAATACTATTAAAATTTAGCAAATATTTAATTTACTACCACATAGTGAAGAAAAATTTAAAAATAAATCCTAATCTTTACTGATGCCAGTACAAAATAAATAGTATCAGAAGAGATATAGTTCAGATCCTGCTAGGCATTTGACGGGGTACCACTTCTAGTTCCATAAACAATCTCAAAAGTTTTTTAAATGTTCCCATTATGGGTTAACAGAGGGCAGCCAAATATCCTGAAACTAATCCTCCTATTAGCCTAGTGATTAATTGTCATCATGATAAGCTCACCTAAAATTCACATTTATTGACTTCTAACTTTTTGTAGGTAATTAGAATACTTCAGCTCTGTTTTGCATCTTCTTAAGGATTTATCTTTATTTCTCTTAATTTAAATGTTTAAAGAAATCATCTTACAATATAACTGAAGTTTTTATAGTTATTAAATATGATGCATTATGGTTAACTATAACATGACTTTTTCTGTATCTTTTCACACATCATTTTCTATATTAAAAATGCATAAGTATCAAATGAAAAAATGTTAAGGTTTTAAAAGTAGAAGAGCGAGAAGAGAATTAAAAATACATCTTTCATACTCAACCAATTATAAGTGGCCACTCATCATTTTGGTGAATTTCTTTCCAATCTTTCATCAGTGCAAAGAAAGTTTTTTTTAAATTCATGTCATCATGAATACACTAAATATACTGGTATTTTTTTTTGCTTGACTTTAATTTATAATATATTTCAACATCTTTTCAGAGTTTGTAAATGTAATTTAATACCTGCATAACATTTTACTAATTTAATTTTGTATTGCAATTAACTACTCTTCTATTACAGTTCCTAATTTTTGCCATCATAAATATTATAGTGAACAATTCTGTACACAAAGCTTTTTTCTCAGCTGGTAATTTGGGTTTTAGTGCAAATTTTTTAAAGTGGGTAAATCTATTCACTTAGCAAATTTCTACAGCAACACTATATGCCAGGCACTATTCCAAGAACTTCATGAGAATTATTAATTTACTTCTATTAATCCAACAATTAGGCTGTAGTATTATTCTTATTTTAGAGACAAGGCTAAAGTGTAGAAACAGAAGAACAAAAGCATGGTAGCACTTCAGAGTAAGATAATATTACATCAGCACTGGCTAATATAATGTCTTGTTTTCTTCAAAATAGCTGTTCATACTATCACAGATAATAAAATCAAACAAACCAGTATAAAATCATTCCAACTAATGAACGCAAACATTATAAGGCTTCAAAGCAATGTAATGGGGAATCATGATTACCATAAATTCTTATGTACTCATCATTTCTTGCCCTAGGGAGACTATATGGTATTTATACATGTGAGTCTGATTTATTTGGCTTATGAGCATGATCTCAAGTTGTGTCCATTATATATAAATATCTCAATGTGATCATTCTTTAGATACCTCTTTTTTTTTCATTACACTAACATGTCTACCGTAGAGAAACTACATGAAGTAACATTTCTTGCCTACTTGATAAGTGGAAGAAATTGGACTCCCTGGATTATAAAGGAACTCTCATTAAAAGGAATGAACACTTTGCAGACTTTTGATGCACATTGCCAATCTTCTTTCCATCCAAAAATATAGCACCAAAGCTGTTGTTATAATTTTCAATTTTTGAACTTCTGTAAAGGGAGATAGAATATGTCTCATGGGATTTTTATGAGTTACGTGGGATAACATATACTTTGCAAATTATTTGAGTAAATAACTTTTTATTTGAGTAGATGTTTATCTGGAATGGTTTGAGGAATTTCATATGAGAGATTATGCACATTACTAAGTGCACCTTCTGTTTTGCAGACAGGATCCCAACATTAGATGCCCTTCCTGACCACATCCTCAAACTCCACGAGATTGTCTCTTACCAGTTGCAGTGATTCTGTGATGTACCATTTGCAGTTATAGCAGCTGAATGAGGTAAGACTTGGTTTCTGCAAATTTGTCCCATTTTGTGTATGAACCATGACATATATAATGAGTGCCAAACTGAGGGACACTATATTATTTCTAGAGCCAAAATGAACAATCCAGTCAGAATTGTTTCCTTGCATTCACTGCTACTTAGAGAAGTTCAGGTAGAAATTCTAGCCTCAGGGTTGGGGATTTAGCTCAGCGGCATAAGTGCCTGCTTTGCAAGCAGGCAGTCGTGAGTTCGATCCCTGGTACCGATAAAAATGAAAAAGACAAAAAAAAAAAAAAGAAATTCTAGCCTCCTTGCAGGCTGAAGCAGAAACATAAAGACAAAAAGAAAAAGGCACTCTATGCCCAAAAGGGCTACTTGCAAACAGTAATTTTGCCTATATATTTTCATTTCAATGTTTACTGAAGCCAGTTGTACCCAATCTCAACAGTCAATTATCAAATTTTCAGGGATTTTTGAAAACTATTTTTTTAAACAGCCATTATTCTAAAATTATATCAATTTACAGCTGAATAAGTTATACTTAGAAATGTAGGTAATATTCAAAACTCATCACTTGTTAATTTTGTTATGATACTTTATTATGCTATCGAGTTTACTTACATCTATTGTATCTGTATAGGAAAGTAATATTATACTGACTTAATGTATTTCTCTTCCCAACTTGTAGTGTTATGTAGTAGTTTGAAATAGGTCATGGTGGGAGTATTTACACCAGAAAACAAAATTAAAAGTCATGAAATGAAGCATTAAAGTGTTTTTTCTTAGATGATCATTTTTATCTCCTTTTTTATTTTTACATTTCAGAATTTTCCAGATGTGGCAAAATAAGCAAATGTGATTATAGTTAAGATAATGACAATTTTTACCTAAAAAACAGCCATTTATTTATCTGATCCACCCTCTGGTTGTGGTCCTCTCATTAAGACTACACAGAAAAAGTAAATTCCTTCTTCCACTTGGCAAACTGATTAACATTTAAGTGCTCTCTCAGATTCTAAGTCTTTCTTTTAAATTTTCTTTCAGTGGATTGTTACATAGTTCCTAGAACCATCACCATCCTCTTTTTCTTTAAACACAACTCCACTGATAGATATTCATGTAAGGTACATAGTTGAAAAAACATATAGAATCAATAACAAGATCAATCAGGACATTAAGAGGGAAGACAGATGAATATGCAGACACAAAAGACTTTTAGGTCAGTGAAATTACTTTGGGAACATTTGTCCAAATACTTAGAATACACAACACCAAGGCTGAACTCCAGTGTGATTGGTGGACGTTGTTGATCATGATACATCAGTGTAAGTTCAATAGTTGGAATAAATGTGCTATTCTATTGGATATTGATAGTAATGGAGATAGTACATGTACTGGGACAGGGGCACATGAAAACTGTATTTTCTGCTCAATTTTACTGTGAACTTAAAACTACCCAAAAAGTGAATTCTATTTAAAAAGAGCCCAGAATTGAATAAAGTATTTCAGGTGAATCTTGTTTAACACAAAGTATGATAAACCTTCCTTGGCTTGTGGCATGGCTCCCCTATTTCAGTCTACAGTAACACTAGAATTTTCTGTTGCCTTTCACACTTCTTACTCACATTGGATTGTCATTTATTGTCTTGTGCATTTAATTAATGCTGAGTGCATCTGTTTCTGTCGGAATAAGTTGGCCAAGGTTAGCTGCTATGTGCAGCTTGCTCACCTCTGTGTTTTCTATCCTTCCTCCTCAAGTGGCCCCCACATAGTAGAACTACGGAACAGCAGCACTGTGACAGAGTTCATTCTTGTGGGCTTTGAGCAGAGCTCTCCTTCCACGCAAGCACTGCTCTTCACCCTCTTCCTCGCGCTCTACAGCCTTGCCATGGCCATGAATGGCCTCATCATCTTCATCACTTGGACAGACCCCAGGCTTAACAGCCCCATATACTTCTTCCTTGGCCACCTTTCTTTCTTGGACGTCTGCTTCATCACCACCACCATTCCACAAATGTTGGTTCACCTGGCAATCACAAACCACACTGTATCTTTTGCCTCCTGTTTGACCCAAATGTACCTAGTTTTTGGTGTGGGTGTGGCTGAGTGTATCCTCTTGGCTTTCATGGCCTACGACCGTTATGCTGCTATTTGTCACCCACTAAGCTATGCCCAGATCATGAGCTGGAAGATCTGTGTAAGATTAGTGAGTACTGCCTGGGCTTTGGGAATGATCAATGGTATTCTTCTTGATTACATGACATTTAGAGGCCCATTCTGCAGAGACAACCATATAGAAAACTTCTTCTGTGAGGCCCCTATTGTGATCAATCTCTCTTGTGGGGACCCTCAGTTTAGTCTGATGGTGATCTTTGTTGATGCCATTGTGGTGCTGCTCAGTCCCATGGTCCTCATTGTCACCTCCTATGCCCGCATCCTGACCTCCATCCTTGGCAGAACCTCCTCCTCCTCAGGTCGGGGCAAGACCTTCTCTACTTGCGCCTCCCACCTGACTGTGGTCATCTTTTTCTACACTTCCGCTATGTTCTCTTACATGAATCCCCGCAGCACACATGGGCCTGAGAAAGACAAGCCTTTCTCACTTCTCTACACCATCATCACCCCCATGTGCAACCCCATCATCTACAGTTTGCGTAACAAGGAAATGAAAGGAGCCATGGTGAGGGCCTTTAGGAGAACCACAGTGGCCCAGGCAGAGTCTGTCTAGCAGGAAACCCCTGGAGAAGAAATGACCACCCCTGTGGTTTGAGAAGGGTAGTCGCCTCTTTCCCAGTTACATAACTCTCCAATGCTGAAAAACTCCAGGAAAGAGAATTCTTAACTTCCTGGGCACCAGATTTGGGCCTGAATGTTTTTCCTGATATTTAAAGTTGGACTCTGACTTCACTTCCAGCAAGCCCATCCTCCATAACCTTTGTTAGAAATACAGTTCACGACTGGATGGACGAGCACAATTCAATGCAATTTGAGAACCAGTGAAAAGGCAGTCATGCCTCTAAAGAGAAAGTAATTAAAGAAAAAAACAGATCCTGCTCTTAAGGACATTATTTCTTAGTGGCAAAGTCAATCAGTAGGAGTGTTGGCTTTGGGAAAGGAAGAGACTGAGAGCCATAAGAGGATGTAATTGATGTTGAGTTGCAGCAGGTTGAGGAAATATGCTATGAAATATGGTCATTACCCCTCCATGGTGACCCTGAAGTTCTTCCATTAAGTTTTCAGAAAAAGTGAAAATCAATAACCAAAGCTATCAAGAGGAAGTGCTGTATGCCAGATTCATGAGTATAAATAAAAAAGAGGAGAGAAAAAAGAAAAAGCCTGAGGGTAACAATTGCCTTAGACTGCAATTGGGTGTTCAAGCTATATAGTAATACAGTGTCTTAGAGTCAGGAATATTTGAGCATCATCTGCATTATACAATGCTGAAACAAGAGTATTTCAACATGTTTGTACATTTAAAATATTGTTGCTGAATGTGTGTTGTAAAATCTAAATATAACATTTTTGAAGGTTCCTTTTTGTCTCGTTTTACTTACAAAGCACATCCCATGATATCGTTCACTCACATCACTAAATTCTTTCTCTCTTATCCCTAATCCTTCATGTATGGTCTAAAGAAGTGATTGTAAACCCAGGACAATTTCACAGTGATCTGTGTAACTAAATAAAACCTTCTCAAAAACCTCTGTGCTTCTCTGTGAGCCTGTCTTTTGCAGTTTCATGCCTTACATGCCTTATCCTATCCAGTCATGTTTTTGTGGCTGTCACTAGCATAGATTCCTACTTAAATTCTGACCATTTCTTTTATTACTTCAAAACAAACCTTTGCTACCTATTGCTTATTTTTCCCCTGTCTACCAATTTCACATTCCTGTATGGTCCACTCTCTCTTTATCACCCTTACTGTTCTGTATCAGGGCCTCAGCAAATGCCATTTAGCACAAACTTTGAAACCATGTGTCCTCTTTGGAAATCTTGCTGGTATTTCAACATTTTTAATTCACTTACACTATCCCTTCTATTACCAATGCCTTTCTCCACACACACTCCAGAGCACCTTAAACGTAAGTTACATTCTTGTATTAGCCTCCCTTCTCCTGCTCCCATGTTAGGGTACCAACTGTTTCTTTTGCCAATTATTTCCCCTTTCTAAATATCTCCTACACAGAAAATGTGCTTTGCCCACCCAGAAGTCCCTTTCCTGTGTTATGACTACATTTATTTTGCCTCTCGAGGGCCATTGTTCTCTTTCCCTCCTGATTCGGGTCCTGATAGACATTTATTGGCTTTTAGTTCCTATTTGGAGAGTTTCTAGTAGAGTCTAGAGAACAAAGTGTGAGGGTGTTTCTTCCTTGACTATCCACGTTCTATGAAGTTCTCCTATAGCCATAGGTATCTATGCTTTAGGCCGGGTCCATGCTTTCTCCTCCTGATAGACAGCCCCAGGGATGCTTAAAAGCCAGCAGCAAAGATCACCCTTAATCTTGGTTTTATTTCTACAAGTCTTTTCATTTACCTGCTTAAGAGTACCATTCCTCTACTCCCAGCACAGTGATGAATTCAGTGGCTTTCACCAGACACACATTACTAACTACAAATGGAAAGTTTCTCACTTAATAAACTATAGGGCAAACCGTAAAACATTTCAAAGGATTAAAATAATTCACATCATGTTGTCATCTAACCGTAATGCAGTTAAGTTAGGAAATGGCACCAAAAAAGACATTAGGAAAAAAAAGCTGCTATATTTGGAAATTAAAAGCAATTTTCTAATTAACATACAGATAAAGAATGAGTTATAAATCTAGTCTAATGTGTAAAAGTAAAAAGCTTGGAAATTGATACTTCAGTTCTCAAAGTGGGGAAAGAGGGGAAGAAGTGAAGGAGAAGAAGGAGAAGCATGAAGCAAAGTGTAAACCAACAGTACTTTTTAGATCCACCAGAAACCTGAAGCCAGCAGACAAACCACCACCCCAACATCGGGAGTAAATAAACACAGAATCTTAGCTTGTGGAAATTTGAGTTGGAGCCAGATAATAACACTTCAAAGATAGTTGATTAACTGCTGGGAGACTGATGATGGCTTACCTAAGAGCCTGTATAGGTTTCTAAGTTCTCCCAGCGTAGATTTTGCAGACCCCTGACTCTCGAAGGTCAGCAGGAGAAGGCAGAAAGTGACCAGCCTGAAAGAAGCCTAGACAAATCTGTTCTCCCTAACAGTCCACCCTCCAGGAAACTATGTAAGCAAGGCCAAATCAACCTGGCAACAGTAAAATAGCCAATTTCAACCTCCCAGCTTCTTTCCTGTGTCAGCTAAGCAGGGCAAAAATGTGCTAAGAAATATTTATAAAGGTCACTGTCTACGGACACAGGCTCACCATGCTTCCCCTCCTCCATATTGATATTTCTCCACAGCATCAACAGGCAGGAGGGGTTTAAGAGAGTGCAGCTGAAAGAATCACAAGCCTCAGACCTTACTTAAGAAGGAAACCTGTAGGAAAACCAAAAGACAATTGAAAAGAAAAAACCCTGAAACACCAAAGGAAAATTTTAGTCTCTGACACTACAATTACAACAAACAGTAAGCACAATCTAACTGCTCGGCAGATCAGCAGAAGACCTCACAGGAAGTGCTATGTAAGCCAGTTCTTTTTACTGATATGTCATGTCTGACATTCAACAAAAGAACGATTGGCAATGCAAGTTTTAAAAATGTATGAGTCCATAAAATAGCAATAAAACCCCACACACTGTTGTGGACCATAAGTGGTACAATAATTAAAGCAACATTTTCCATTATAAAATAATTAAAATCAATAAATTAATGAATTTTACTGGAAGAAAACTGCATGTAATAGAGTGGTTCAGCTAAACACACAATTGAGTAAAGTGAGAAGAAATTTATTAAATAACAATATTAAGATTCAAAAGTAGGGGCTGGGGGTTTAGCTCAGCAGCATAAGCACCTGTCTTGCAAGCAGGCAGCTGTGAGTTCGATCCCCGGTACTGATAAAAAGGAAAAAGACAAAAAAAAAAGATTCAAAAGTATGGAAGGGGAGCCAACCGTGGGACAGAGAACCCTATTTGCTAAAGAGGTTATCTTTTCTCTAGAAAACTTTTTAGGGGAAAAAATTAAAACAAAATTTCATAGCAAAATCATTGGAGAATAAATAGTTAATACACTGCATATTTTTATCTTTCTAGTGGTTACTTAGAGTATAAGGTATAGGCATAAAATACTCTTTAGTCAATATTAGCATAAAGCTTGCTTTTCAATGAACTAAGAGACAGCAGTAGTATAACTAACTTTTTCTCCTTTTCCATACCTTCCTTTCCAGTGTTCCCTACCCTAGTTCCTTTTTCCTGTTGAATAGTTTCTTCCCATTTCACAGTATCAATTGTACATTGTAAGCCTTATTTACTCTTTCAGTTTCTCACACTAAGGAGACAATACTATGTTCATACATGTGAGTCTGATTTCTTTACCTACACATATGGTCTCAAGTTGAACCCATTTACCTAGAAAAGTCTCAAGTTTGTCTTTCTTTACAGCCGAGTAGTATTTCAATGTATAAAAATGTCAAGTCTTTTTTATCCATTCCTCAGTTGATGGACATTTGAATTGTTGATTCTTTGAAGTGTTTTCCTTGGAATCTTGGTTTTATTCAGGAACTGTCTGCCTATACTTATGCCTTCAAGATTTCTACTTTCTCCTCTAGTACATTTAGTGCTTTTGTTTTAATATTTAGATCTTTGATCTATTTAGATTTCATCTTAGGGCATTAAGAAATGGGTCCATAGGGGCTGGGGATTTAGCTCAGCGGCATAAGCGCCTGCCTTGCAAGCAGGCAGTCGTGAGTTCGATCCCTGGTACCGATAAAAACGAAAAAGACAAAAAAAAAAAATAGAAATGGGTCCAATTTTAGTCTTCAGCATGTGGAAAGCCAGTTTTTCCAGCACCATTTATTAAAGAAATATCTTCCAGTACAAGTTTGGCCCCTTAGTCAAAAATAAGACAAATGAGTGTGTTTGTAGTTGTGTCTGCATCTTCTATTTTGTCCCACTGATACTCAGGCCTGTTTTGTTTTGTTTTTGCTAATACTATGCTGATTTTATTATAGCAGCTGTGTAATATACTTTCAGCTCAGGGATCCTGATGCCTTCTACCTTGTCATCATTGCCCAAAATTTCTTTTGATATTCTAGGTCTTTTCTCTTCTAAATGAATATCAGGAATGTTTTCTCTAGTTCTGTAAGGTATGCTAATGACATTTGATCAGGACTATTTAAAATCTGTGTAACAGTTTGGGAGTATGGTCATTTTCACAATGTTGGTTCTTGCTATCCATGAACAAGGGGATCTTTTCATTTTCTGGATTCTCTTCAAGTTTCTTTTCTAGAATACTGTTATTTTCAGTGTTTAAATCTTTCATTTCCTCTGTTAGATTGATCCCTAAGTATTTTTTATGTTATTGTGAAGGATATGATATTCCTAATTTCTCTCTCAGTTAGTCTGTTGTATACAGGAATGCTATTGACTTTTGAGGGTTGACTTTGTACCCAGCTACACTGCTGAATTTTCTTACTAAGTCTAGAAGTCTGTTGATGGAGTTTTGGGGGCCTTCTATGTAGAGTATTATGTCATCTATAAATAATGATAACTTAAAATTTTTTCTTTCTGTCTTTATTCCTTTTATTTTTCTATCTTGTC